TGGAGGAGTTCAAGAGACAGGTTGATGTAGTGCTGGGAGGTATGGTTTAGTGATGGTGTTGCTTTTTGTTTGTTGTGCAGGTGTCTATTTTTGTCAAAGTGAGGTTGACGGTTGGACAAGATGATCTCTGAGGTCCCTCCCAACCTAGAAGATTCTGTGATTCTGTGCTTCTACAGCTGCCGTTCATGTCCCTCCCTGACCGATCCCACTGCTGGCGGCCTGGTCCCTCGCTCCTCGGGAGACGGAGGGAGGTGCTGGCACAGGGAGGTAGACTCCTTCCTCATGATAAACTCCTGTGTGGAAATGTCGCCCTTTATGGGTGTATTTTGTGTGTATTTTGTGTCTCAGCGTGGCAGCGCCTGTCGGGACACCCAGTGCCTTTTGTGTGTATTTTGTGTCTCAGCGTGGCAGCGCCTGTGGGGAGCGAGCTGTGGGGAGCTCACTGCCAGGATCCCCTCTCCCAGGAAAGAACAGGCACAGCAAGAGCTGAGATCTGGAAATAATTGTCAAATAACAAGGGAGAAATAAGGTGCTATTTCATTAATATTGAGAATAATTAACCTTAAAGTCATCTACAAAACTGGTGACTTTTTTTGTCTCTTGATGTTACAAGTCATACTGGAAAACACATGCTTAAATCAAATTAGGAACGTGGCTCAGTTCAGAGGTAACCTCTTGTAATATGCTGTCTTTTTGTTTCTAAGAACATGGAAATGCAAGCAATGTGTCCATAGTCAAGGTAATGTTTTAAACTACTGCAGAGGTTGCCGAGGGACAGTATGCATTGGCTTTCCACTTCTTCAAGACCAGTTTGGCTCTTCTGAGGAAGACTGGGAGTTTCAGTGAGCAAACTATGCGGGGGTGTTAGATCTGACAGTGAAGACAGGCTCCTTAAGCTAATTCTGGTCACCTCCTGCTTTTTTAGCCTTTGGCTGCTTTGAGACTTTTGTTTATTTGTTTTTCCTGGTAGTACTGCCATGTCCTCTGACCACGAGGAGAAGCCAGGATTCTGGGTTTGTCCTCAGTCAATGCTAAGAGTTAAAGTCTGAATTATGAATTTTCTTTGTGTAAAAGCTTCTGTAATCTGAGAAACAAAAGGAAGATGGTAAGTTCAGAACAAGGAAGTTTCTTAAAGAAAAGCCATAACATATTATGGCATTTATAATGTGAATTTTGTTGCATCAGATGTCACTTAAAAAAATTGGTTTGAAATAAATTACTGCTTTGACTTCTTGCTGCAGCTAAAAATGTAGAATAAATAAGTTGTGTTTGGGTTTAATGGATTTTGGTTTATTGGTGTTTGTTTTTCTTTTTAAATAACCAACTTAAGCATTGTATTTTCACATATCCTTGTCTGTTTGTTAAAATATCAGAAATTATAGTGCTAATGTAATTAAACTGACTCCAGTGGAAATATTTGAAAGGGACCTGTCTCCAGCAGGTGTCAGATGGGTAGCAATCAGCCATCACCAGAAACACCATTTGGGTACTACCCCGATCGTCCTGCCAGCAGCTGAGCTGGGGCTCTGTGCTGCTAGTGATGTTAGTGGTGCTTTGCAGTAGGGGAGCTGAATCCAACCTGGCAGGGTGGCAGGGCCACCACTTCTGCTTCTGCGGGGACCAATCCTACCTGACGTAACCATAAAAGTACTAGATGTCATTAAAACTTCAACTAAATTAGCAGTAGCACTGATAATGCTGCACTAAGATCAGGCTGGTAATGAAACCTTACTGAGAACTCAGGGTGCTGCTGTAATGTATCTGCAAATCAATGAGCATTGTTCATATAGACTAGAGGTTTGCCAGCCTAGGATAAAAAGGCAATAATCATAAGTATAGTACATGATTAGTATAGTGTAGTTCATCATAAGTAAGAAGACTTAATTATAATTTGGCTCAAACTAGAATCATTGTTTTCAGAAAAAAACAGTACAAAACACTGCACATTGTTATATGAGAGTAGCAGGAAGTAACTCAAATAGTAGAATATGTTTTATTGGTTTGTTTAGCTTCAAATGCAGGTAGGACATTTTTACAGTACTTGAAATCACCATGCAGCCTAACAAGAGCTCTTGACTGTTAACTTGCAATGTTACAACTGGCAGAAGCAGAGGGTTGCAAGGGAATTACATGTACTTCTCCACTGATGATTTTTGTATGTGTGTGTTTTTTGGTTTTTGGTTGTTGTTTTTTTTTTTCCTTTTAACTCTCGTTTAATAAATTAAAACACTCTTCTGAGACTGAAATGATAAAGAACTCCTCCTGGTGGTACCAGAGCATGAAAGTTTATTATCTCTGTGTATTTCCAGGTGTGTCAGCTTCTTTGGTTCCTTTTATGTTGTGTTTTAGAAATCAAAGTAATTAAAATTAAGGGCATAAATTGTCAAAATCAATAAAAGATAGTGTAGAAATGGAGTACTGGTATGGACCTCACCAGGCTATCCCATGCATTCTTGTATCTGAGGAGTGAAGTCAAGTGCCTCTTGCCCAGTCTTTTCAAATGGAAAACTCCTACTCTGCTCTGGATTGTATCCTTTCATTTATTTAAAGATTTCTAGCCTGTCCTGTCCTCACCATCTACTTACTGATTAAAGAAAGCCAGTTCTTCCAAGTCTTCCTCAGAAATTACATTTTGTAAATTCACCATTCTTATATTTTTATTTTTTTTCCTGCACTTCATTTCCCTCTTAAGCTGCCATGTCTAAAATTAGGCACAGTATTCAATCTCTGACTTCAGCACTGCTAAATAGAGCATAATAATTATCTCCTGTGAGGTACACATAACACTCCTGTTAATCCTTTGCAGAATTAAACTCGTCTGGTTTTGCTCTTTTGCATTGCCATGTTCAGGTGTGATCCCTAGTTTACGATTGAATTGTAACTATAGATCCCTTTTGGCAAGATCCTCTTGAGTCTGGCTGGCAGATTTCTGGCAAGTTATTAATTAGCAGGGCATCCATAATTGTGGGAAAAGAAAGAGCCCTTAGCAGATTTGCTGGAAAGCATTTTTTACCTAGTATTGGGTTTTCTCTGGGATATTTGCCACATCAAGCAGAAGTTTCTCTCTATTCCTTTCCTCTCCAGTCAACTCAGTTGCTTAACGCTGGTGCTGTGTTTTTAATGAAATACTTGGGGGTTTTGGTCAGTCTTTCTTGTAATCCTCTATTTGTGCTGCAATGAAGGGCCTAGAAATTTAACTTCTAGGAAGCACTTTATTAATCCAGTTGATGGTAAAACATCAGCTCAACATTCATCAGCAGTAAAAAAGGCTACTACAGCATCGGAAATGACTAACAGCAGGCTTGGTGCTGCTGTTGTCTGGAGGTACCAACACAGCTTGCTTTGCTACCTTGCTGCCTGAACGCTGCCCACAACCCCAGTCACCCCGCCACAAAAGGGTTTATGGACTAGAAAGGCACTAGGATAAACATGAGACTGTACAAAGAGATGTGCACAGCCATGGTGTGATCAAAGGTGCAGCTGCCGCAGCACCCTCTGGAATGGCTGATGGCAGAGGCCAAGAGGTGGGTATGAGAGCAGCCCATGCAGGCTCTTGCGTTACGCCTTCCCAGCTGACTTAGGAGATCAATAAGCGCGGCAAATCGGCTGTTTGAGACTCTTGCTTAGAAGAGACACCTGAATGCGAACATGATACAAGAATGTGAGTCACAAATGGTATGGAAAAAGAGTGTGGAGAACAGTTGTATAAATTTTGCATAGCAAAGGAGAAGATTTCCAATAATCTTTTCAGGAATCTAGATTTAAAACAGTCTAAATGTATTTATTTTTTTTTCTAACGCTTAAGTAAGCTATACATATACAGTTTACTTGTGTAACTAGGCTTATGTTTAAGTTTAAGATAACCAGGAAACTCTTAGTCAAAGGTTATTGCAGCTGCCCAAAAGATGAAGGAATCAAAGATGTTAGAGATAATGGGAGAAAAATCTGTTCAGGTTTTAAAGTACAAAAATGTACACAGACTTGTTTCTCAGGAAATCTGCCTACAGGTGAGAGGGTTTTTTGTTCTGCTGTGTCACTCATAGAACTTGCAAATAAGCCCTGCCAAAGGAAGCTGAGCCCCAGGGCTGACCACTGTCTTCGGGTTCCCCACATCTCAGCTTCTATAACCCCTGCAATGACTCCCAGCCCGTGCATTTTTAAGGGCAGATTGCACACACATGCTGGAGGAGGTGATCTGTGCTGGTCCCACACAGCTACCTACAACCATCTATCAGCTGCCAGCAGTGGTTCAGTTGTGGCTTTGCTATGGCCAAGGAAGGGGTTGTAATTTTGCTCTCCTGGGAGCAGAAGCAGGCTAAAAATATGGTACTGAGTATGATATCTGTCTTCTTTCTCATGCCTTGGTGTTGATTTTATGGATGTCACTGATAAATGTTACCCTGTTTTTATGCTGGGAGGGTTTTGCTGGGAGGAGAAGACACCCTGTAGGTTGCTGGGGAGGTGGTAAGCAAAAGGATGTTGTACCATAGCCTATTTACTCATCTGGGGATGAGTTCCAGCCATGCTCCTTAACTTTTTGAGTTTTTTTACTATCTGGTGATGAAAACTCATATGAAGGGCTACATCAAATGTGTATGGGACCCTTACAGTGGGATAAATATTGCTATCAGGTATCAATTAGGTTTGTGTTAGAGAACCATTGGCTTTTATTTCCTTTTTTTCTTGTCCACTAATGTGCTCGCATTTACTTTACAAAACATACATAAGCTTCTACGCCTGGAGATTAAATTGTTTGTATTGGGGATTGACACTACAAACTTAGCAACCGGGTTACAGGCACAAAACTCTGAGCTACTTAGACACAATACAGAGAGCCAGGTTTTGTGCCACTGCTGGGGACAAGGCTAGCAACCATTAAGAACAGACACACATTCACACTGAGTTACCCTTCTGTGACCGTTGCAACCTGCAGCGCGAAAATGCATTGAAAGAAATGCCAGAAAAGGTTGCGTCTGTGACATTGTGGTGAACATCTGTACTCATTTTTATCTGAGAGTGAAGCTGAAGCTCTTCTCTTCTTCCCTCAATTGCTCACAATCTTGTAATTATTTTTTTCTATTGGAATTATTCTTCTGTGAAGGTTGTGGAAGGGAAAAAATGACCACTGAAAACCTATCTGCTTTTGCTTAGCTTTTTAACCTGTTTTTGCCTGCCTGCTCTTCCAAGAGAGTACTACAATGACAGACCCTTCAGTGGTGGATCACCTGACACGACTGAAACTCAAACTCCTAGAAAAGGTAAGGGAGTAACTGAAATGGTCACCTTTGCTCTCTCTTTTGCTCTTGCATGTTTAAGCATTAAGTTTGTGTTCTAAATAATTAGATTTCTACTGAGATACAAAGAGGATCTGCAGCCAACTGAGAACCTCTTTCTTTGTGCAGACCAACGTGCAGCAGTGTTACAGTCACTATCACTTTTTAAAATCATATTGTGCAAGTTTACATAGACCTACAGTAAATGAAAAATGGAGTTAAAGTGACTGATCTTATGGGATATGTCACCAGATAGCTCAAAAAACAGTTTGAGTTGTGACAGACAGCATTTAGGAGTAAATTTTGGGTAAAGAGGACCTCGGAATGTTTTAAGGCAATTTTATATCTTCTTTTTTTTGTTTACTTTCACTTAAGATATGTTGCCATGTGAAATATGGACAGACCTTCACTGGAAACATGTGAAGCGTCACACAGAATTCAAGTAGCTCCTTGTTGTGATTCCACATACTAATGCACCTAAGTTTCTCCACTCAGCCCATCTGACATCCACTAGTGTGGATCTTCTACTCCTGTGTCCTCCATTAGACTTGTCTAGAATGAAAAACAGTTTGTCTGGATGTGTGAATGCTGGAATTGGCATCTAATCTGTCTCTGTGGCAAAGTCTTAGATGCAGCAGCCATTTGAAGGCAAAGTTTTTACCACTGTGGAGCCACACAGAACCAAGAGCCTGCATATGAGCAACAGGTCTCTAAATTCTGAGCATCAGGGAGCAACAACTTACTCCCCATGGACTAAGGAGTCAAGCACAATAATACAGCCATCAGGGCAGGGGCCTGGCTGGCCAGTCCTCAAGCAAGACAAGCAGGTTAGAGCCAGAGATGGTGACCAAGATCAACCAAAAGTCCAGATCTGTCAGGCAAGCTCATCACGATGAGGCAGGTCCAAGGCCAACGTGGGAAGCAACTTGCAGGTTGGGATCAGGATAGGATCCATGGCCAGTCACAGGCATGGCTGTGGTTGAACTGCAGACCAATACAGCTTAGCTAGGAACTGAGGACTTAGAGCTGAAATTAAAGGGACTCCTGGGCACATGAGTGGTGGGGTGTGGATGGAAGGCCCAGGTGAGGCTCATCAAGGTCATTTAGGCCTATTAGTGCATCAAATACACAAAACTGTCTGGCATCAAGTTCTTCATATGTTCCAGCTCTTTAGCCTACAAAATAAATTATGTATTAAGTCTCCTGATTCACTATGCTATCAATTTCCAGGTCTGGGATATCCTGGCCAGTTGGAAACATGGCTGTTCCTTTAGCGTAACTAGATTTGTACTGAGACATTTCATAGTTCTATGAATACTTCTTGTAGCTGTGATTTAGCAGTTTAGAAACATCGCTTATCTCCACTTCTGCTTTTTCTCCTCCATCCCAAACCTATGCCTGTAAGGTAGGGTTGGAAATTGTTGTGAACTCATAACCAGTTCTTGTTGTGGTTCTACCAACAGAGACTAGAAAATGAACGGGAGGACCTAGAGAAGATGGAGTCACCTCTCCCAACCGCAAGTAAAAGAGAAGCATTTGTTCTAATTACAGACATGATTCAGAAAGGGCTTAGTAATGTTCTCAGGCATGAGTTCCTCAGCAGGTCACACCATATGATCACATCTCCTCCTTAAAAGCTGGAAGGGGCCTCTGTGAACTCAGTGGTTGGGCATTTGGGTAGTCAGAACTTGCTCTGTCTTGGCTTCTGTGACAGGGACATTTTTGGCATGGCAGGAGAGAGACTTTGAACTAGAGTGAGTGCTGCTCCAGCTCAGCCTGCAGCCCTGGGGATTAGAAGTAGCAAAAATGAGAGTTCCAATGAAGCTTGTGCAGCAATGTCAGTCTGTATACTAGTCTCGGTCCTAACTAAGCCATTGAATCTTAGCGGCCTTGATGCAAGGAAAACAGGCTTGCTATACTGTGCAGCTATTTACATTTTATCTTTTAAATTTATTCAATTGGTAGTTTTTTTGATCAGCCAGATGAGCACTGACATAAGAATGACCTCCTGCCCTAGTGTTCTCTGCCGTCTCTCAGCTGCGGATGCTGGTTCAGCTGAAGCAAACTACTGGTAATCCTATGTGTTCTAGCTGCTATACCTAGGAGCAAGCCCCTGTTGCAGTCCAGCTGTATGCTTGGCTTTGATCTTGTAAAGGAGTTGTTAGGACAGCTGTGTGTCTCCAAGGGATCCAGGCTGGAGGAACACTCCACTATTAATGCTGCTTTGCACCTTCGAGGCTGACCAATGCAGCCTTATGCATACCAGAATATGGTTTCCAGTGTAAAAAAATGTGACTCAGCTTATGAAACAAAATTGTTATGCTGAAAGAGTTGGTCTTGAGGACTGTGTTGATAAGATCTGCTAAAAAGATCCATTTTACCAGGAAGCCATGCATGTGCAATTACATCCTGACCTTGCTTTGGGCAGAGAGGTCAGGAATCCCAGCCTGCTTATGAATAGGCAATTCTCTATAAAAGCTAGTGAACCAGCTAAAAGATGATAAATAAGGGAATTCAAAATAACTTGTGTCTTTATCAAACCTTTTCAAAGACTCTTATGATGTTTCATGTACAAGTAGTGTGTTCCCTCCAATGGTACTTCCATGGAAGCTACATGTGCTATATGCTAGTGCACTCGTTACTTCGCATGGCACATGCAGTGTTTATAATTATACTATGGATTAAAGGGTACTAGTATAAGATCAGCAATATTTCTAGATTATACTCTGGGCTCATATTCATTGAGATGATGCACAAATAGTTGTAAACTTTCAATGCTGTGGCCAAAAATTAAAAACCCCTTTAACAACTTACACTTCCAAAATGCAAAGTGGTGCTTTTCGGAGCAGATGCTGGGCATGCCTCCAATGTATCTGAAAATGTTTGTAATTTTCTTTTCAAGCAAGTTCAGAATTGGCTGTATGTGGGGAGAACTGAAAAGGAAGTTGATTCAAAACAAAAAGGGAACAAAAGTTGACATTCAAAATGGAGTCTTCTTTGATATGTCACAACAAATTTTTTTTACACTTTGCACTATCATCCTCTGCATGTACAGAATATATCTAGAAAATTTCAAGGTAAAGTGAGTTTCTAAGACAGGAGGTTAAAAGGGAGCTTTAGAGAGCAATCTGAAAAGCTTATTTTCGGGGAAGGTGTGTTGCCTTTGTAGAGATGCTGAACAGCTGTGTCTGCATGTGCCATAAAGTCATTATCCGTTCGTTGGATTTGACAAGAAAAGTAGCCTACAACACTTTTTGAAAGAAGTCGAGCTATCTTATAACACATTTTCCAGAATTAATCTCATAATGTTGGTGCTATAATAACTCTGTGATTCTTTGAGAAGATAAGGGAGTTTTCTTCCTTCAGGGAACAGACGGGAGAATATGCTCCAAAGTGCCCTAAGGCGAAGGAATGATCTTCTGCATGAACTTAGGGTAAGAGCCCTCTCTGTGGAGAGAAACAACAGAAAGGGCTAGGTTATCTGCATGTCCACTGCCAGTGCGGATTCAGTATTTCCTGTCCTTTAGCTCTTTGGCTGGGGAGTATTCAGGGCTCTGCTGGTTCAGAATACAGGGGCTGGGGCAGCTTATCAGGGAGAGGGGCTGGAGAGCAGTTTGTATTCCCTCGCTACAGCTAACAAAGCTCGCACCCACGTCAGTTAGTTGGTGGATTGATTCTGTTTGTCCTGATCTGCTGTATTGTAAGCTCTCTGGTATAGTGGCAAAATGCAAAGAAGGGATTTTTAATGCCACCGAGATAGGAACAACTGATTCTGTTAGGTATTCCTAGTTTGTGGAGGATACCAACTATTAATGAAACATTTTCCCAGACTGGCAGTTTGTTCTTCACTGTTTTTCCATTCCTTTTTGCTTGTGCTGCAAACTGTATGGCTTCGAGATATGTGGGAAGGAAAACTTTCTTTACACTTGTGTGGGCACTGTTTGAGTGCTTCCCTTCATGCAGCCATCGCTTATGGTCTGCCTGTCGGGCGCAGCAGTGCTGGACATTTCTGAAGCAGTGTTTTGGGGAGCAAGGTTGTGCCCTGCTGTGGGCTCCAAAGGGCATCCAGAGAGCATAACAATACTGTCTGCCTTTCTGTGACCAGGTTTTCTTTTAGAAGATACTTTATTTTGCAGGAGCAGCACTTTCTAGAAGAGCTTTCACAGCCTCCTGCACCAGCTGGAGTACACTGTCATAACCACATAGCTGTCCCCCCCGATGTCTACCAGATACCTTTTCCAGCTCCCCAAGCGGAGCCACCAAGGATTATCCAGCAGGTGGTAAGGATCCTCTCTTCTAGGAGACACCACTAGTGCTGTGCCAGTGTGAGACAACAACCACTCGGGAGCTGTATGGAAATGCTCATCCCACTGAAAAGGCAGATATGCCTCTTGCTGTTGTATTGGACCCTTACTGTCCTATGCCAAATCTAAGGGAAATTGTCTTACAAATAAGGCACAAAATTACCAATGTGAATGGTTTACCATAGAAACGAGGTAGCAAGAGGAGTGGGAGAATTGCCTACACTCTGGCCAAGCCGTTTAGCCAGTTTCCAGTGCACATCACTGTCTGCTCTACAGCCCACAACCTCAACAGCTTCTCCATGAGGATCTCATGTCCAAAGCCTTACTCTGAAGTCCAGGCAGACGATACTCTCTGTTCTCCCTTCCCAAAGATGAGAAAGCTGGCCAAAACCAACCCTGACTTTTCCATTTTCCTTTCTTTTTCAGATGCCACCTCAGTCTGCCACCATCATCCAGCAGTTACCTCACCCGTCCCCCCTGATCACACAGCTCCCCCCTGCCCAGCCTTTTGCAGCCCCCCACTCTGGAAGCATTAAAGAAGGTAACACACCCTCTGTCTAGCAGCCAGCTCCCGTCACCAAGCCTGGAGAGGGCAGGCAAGGTGCCATGGCAAGTGGAAGGGGGCATGGGACAGTGGGCAAGCTGGTTAGTGACATGCTGCTTCATCATTGGGCTGCTGCTGGGGCTGTGGGAATTGCACTCCGTAAATGGACTAGATACCATTTCTGAGAGGCTTTCCAACAAACTCTTGTCACTAAAACTAAAGAAAAAGGGACTACAAACTCAGTAATGTGGGGTTAAGCTGCTGGGGAAGCTTGGGAAAGCAGAGCAGCTCAACCCATGGCACTGAGTAATCTTAACTGGGTCAAAGTCATGCGTACAGATGATTCCAAAATTATCAAACAGGCTTCTAAAATCTGTTTTTATTCTTTTGTTCCCTCTTAACTTGTTGTTCAGCCTCCTCAGAACAATACAGCCTTTTATTATGCCCCATGTTTGGAACCAAGACAGAACAGCTGAAAGTGCTGGTCCAAATATAGTGCAATGCCAATATAAAGAGTTTATTTCTAAACACGGGTGGATGCTACTGTGAAATAATACATGACCAAAACCTGGGATGATTTCTCTGGCTCAACCTTCAGCTGATGGTTTCTTCATCCCACAGAGAAATCCTGAGTCATGAAACTGCAATATTTCTCATCTCTTTCTTCATCCAAGTGTCTGGATTTTTCAATCAGAATTTATTTTCATAAACAAAATAGTCCCAATTCAGTCATGACTTTTCTGAAGCTGATAGAGGTAAACTACTTTTGGTATGGCCAGTATAAAAAAATGGAGAGTTGTATTTTTTTCCTTCTTTTTTTCTCCCCTCTCTTTCCTTCCTTCCTTCCCCCACTCAAGCAAATTAATTACACTGCACAGGTCCTTTGTGATTAGGAGCCAGAGATCATGGTAAGTAGATTTGATGCACAAACAGTGGACTCTCAAGGTGGCACTGCAATACCACAAAAAGTTGAGGAAACCTCTCATTGACTCTCATGGAAGTCAATGATCTTGAGCCGAAGCAATAGAGAGCACTGTAAGGAGCTGGTCCATGCTGGAGTAAATGAGAGTGCTCTAGCACCCAGTCCTTCTCCAGCTTCCATTTGGCATAGCCAGAGGGGTGGGCTTGTAGGGGAATTAACAGACAGAAGATGCTCAACTCCAAGGGAGGAGAAAGAGAAGAGCTGGTTTGAACAGTCTTATTCACAGAGATTATTTTTTCACTGCCCAACCAAATAATGCTAATATTCTTCATGTGTCCCTTTCAGCTGCTTTGTCTTGGTTGTGATGACCAGTCCATATGCTGGAGAGTACTTCTTACCAAAATGCCTCTGCTATATGTCAGTCACTGATAAAGCCCTTACTTTCTTCCTTGGGGTGACTTCTTCCTAGATATGGTAGAGATGATGCTGATGCAGAACGCTCAGATGCACCAGATCATCATGCAGAACATGATGCTGAAGGCTCTGCCACCGATGTCATTCACACAGCCTGCTGGAGCCAACCCTCCCTTGCTTCAGCACGCACAGCAGGTAATGGCACTGGAGTCTCAGGGGCGTTGTTGCTTACACCAAGCACTGGTTGATCTCCTTGGGAGGGTGTGCAGCCTGGACAAAACATGCAGAAAGTCTGGGCTGCTTAACAGCTGTGCGCATCTTCAGACCCACTGCCCTGGGAGACTGTTCCTGAGCAGAGCACAGCCTGTCTCTCTGCCATGATGAGCACTGTGACAGGACCCAGTGGAAGAATGTCTTCTCTACAAGTGCAAACTGGATTTGCTCCAGCTCTGAAAATTGTCTCTCCTGTACAGTTGAACCACTAACAGACTGTGCATGGAAGAGATCTACACCGGGCATCTGCTGCTGCAGGTCCATGTGCTGCAAACAGCGGGGCAATATTCATGTAACAAATCCTATAATTGGTAAAATTTGTAAAATTTCAAATGAGCTAGAGCTGAAGCACAGATTTTGTGATCGTACATGGAGCCCCACTGTTCTAGTTCCTGTCTCACTGAAAATCAATGGCTACTGAGCTCTGAAAGGACAGATCTTAAAGATATTTTGGTGTATAGATCCCTATAGGGGTTTTTCCAAAATGCCTTATCAGTGCCTGATAAGAGGAATGTAATTTTGGACATACCCTTAGATGCCCAATTCCTAAGCTATTTTAAACAAGGTGAGAGAGCTCCTTAGTGTCCTTAAGTGCTTTGGAAAAATGTATTTCTAGTCTCTAATCTGTAGCATTTATTACCTAGGAAGCAAGGACAGTTGATCTTTGGGGAGGAGGGGATGTCCCAGTGTTGCAAAAACTTCCTCTATACTTTTCCTACCTCTCCATTTTCAGGCTACCCATGTCTTTTCCCTGGGATGTAAGAAAGATTTGGTTTCTTTTTCTCAGGTGTTAAGGCTGTCGGGTGTTGAGAAAGTAATTCCCACACTTCTGCATTCCTTGCCCAGCCCACTCTCATCTATCCTATGTGCTATTTGCAAAAGCAACGGATAGCTTAAAAGGCCCCAAGCCCTGGGTTTAACAGAGGGGTAGGAAATGCAATCCCCTTCCATAGCCCATCCCAAGGCCTGGAGGGGAGCTGACAGGTTTTTTGCACCTGTTGGGACCAAATGTCTGCCCTGGACAGAAAGCCTCTGCCAGCAGCTGCTAGCTCTCACATTTCAGGGCACCAAAGTCCCACCTGTGCCACAGAGGGGCCCGCTGGCTTTGTCAGCCATGGTGCCGGGGCAGACTTGCTGTGGAAATGGGAGACAGTGCTGGCTCTTCCTCTTGTTAGAGCTGTACCCAGTGTTGCCTCGGACGGAAGTCCGTTTCTATTTATTTTCCTTAAACTTTGCAATTTCTGGATTTGAATACTCTTTTCCCCTTGCTGTGAAGGACATGCCTGGGGCAGATGGTGGTACTGGGAGAGCCAGCAGACTCATCTGCAGTTTTCTGTGGAGGACCCGACATCTAAGAGAAGATGGCAGAGGGAGAATGTGCATCCCCCAGGCGCACACCTTCCTCCCCAGGCCATCCTCTCACCGTGCATTTCCTTGACATAGACCGGTGGGATAAACTGAGGGGAGTGGGGTTTGAGTTCCTCTGAGTATCAGGTGAAATCTGAAAATGCCGAGTGTTTCCTGGACTTTCTGTGTTGGAGCCTGCAAAACCCATCTCCAGATGTGCTGAAGGACTTCCTTTACCAAGGGTGGCCAAGCGGGAACCCAGCCCTCACCCAGGGACCCATCCAACGGGGGCACAGATTTCACGAATTGCCCTTTGTCTCTCTCCACCAAGGACCTGCCGTTTGCTGCTCCCCTGGCTGTGAAAGCAGGCAGACCCAGGCCTTCTGCAGTGCACCACCATCACCACATCCCTCCCACAGGGGTGTTCCCAGTGCCCCATGGGGGCTTCCCCTCCACGACTCATCACAGGACCGTCAGCATGCTCCCTGCCCTGCCAACGTAAGTGAATGGGCAGCTGCAACGTAAACTTTTAGCCCTTCCTTCCTGCACAGGTGGGGTAGCTAAGTAGACCAGACCATCCCATGCCTTTGTGGTCCTTCACTGAGGCCAGTCCTGTCTTTAACGCAACAATGGGACTGAGGCAGGTTAAGTGAGGATTTGATACACCCAATCTTATAACTCGAGTAATTAATCCTTGCTTACTGTGGAATAAACATGAGGATCACACAACGTTTGCAGATGATACCAAGCCATGTCCCTGCCACACAGAGCCACCATTCAGCAACGTTGCATGGTTCTGCTCTGCTCTGCAGTGGTTGTTACCTTGGGTTTATGGTCTCCCTGTGAACCTGGCAGACATCGGCTAAATAAAGGCTGCATGTATTTTACATTCAGGCGAAGGTTCCCAGTAGGTTTTATATTCTTAAAACACTGCTGAAATATTTGCTAATCAGAAATTCCTGGGAAGAAAACCCACATCCACTCACTAAGGAAAATGGTACAGAGGGAGGGGAGTACTCAGAAATGAAGCTGAGACGTTGCAATACGCCTGTGCTTGCAGCTGGGATGTTTTTTCAAGTGCAGAAATGGATGAACTTCTTCCTACACTGTCCCAAAGCCTGTAGAGCCCTCAAGCCCATAGAAGAAGTCAGCAGCTGGCTCCTCTAGGGGCTCACCTGCCTGTGCCTTTCCTGCTATCTCTGAGCCTGGTCAGCTTTCTAGGTGTGAGCAGATCACGCCGGGACTAGTGTTTGAGCTAGTCTGCTCATGTGAATGCCAGTGGCAGAAGGAGCCTTGGGGAAGGGTCTGAGCCAAGAGAGAGCAGGGGTCTTGCTGAGTGTGTCAGGAGGAGACAGCAAGAAAGCAGGCGTGGAAGCAGCAGGACTAGAATGTTCTTACGTGCTGAGGCTGGTAAAGAAATGCCCATTACTAGATTGTGGTGGGGTGACTGGGTACTTTGTGGTGGGGACTCACTGTTGCATTGGTTGGAATGCAGCTTTTATTTGTGTGGTAGGGCTGTTTCAAAGCCTTAGTGAACAGAAGGACAGGATGGATGCAGCTGCACGCTCATGTACGGGCAACCTTGTATGGCCCTCTTTAGCATGGGATTTGAATTCCTGAACAGATTATTTACCTAATGGGGTTATAAGGGAGAAACATTTCTACATCTTTCACTTTTACATGGCTTTGCAGTCTTTACTGGTAAAGATCTCGGGTCTCCTTTCAGACCCAGTGCAATTAGCTGTTTGCAGGAATCAGCAAAGGAAGATCTTGTCATGGCTTTTAAGTTATATTCCTCCTCTTCTTCAGCTACCTTCCACCATGAATTATGAGATCTGACTCATCTACACTGTCCTTTTGCAGCTGCAGCAAGCATAGATACTGTTGGCTATTACCAAACACAATAAAGCCATTTTTCTTGTTGCAGGTGGCCCACATACTGACAGTACGTGTTACTCTGCAAGCGGACCATGGTGTTGCTGTATTTGAACAGTTCCTAAATCATCTGTTTGGTCAACAGTCTAATGTCTGTATGACTGCACATTGTTGGTACAAGAAGTGAGCAGGAGAAAGACTGCAGATGTTAAAAATGTACCATGCACCTGTGGCCTGCTCACCCGTTTCTGCTAGTTCAGTTGTTTCATCTTTCAAGCTCACATCAGCCACAAGCAACCACCACTTTTTTTGCTCTCTCTTTATAGAATCAAGAAGAGCCATCCCAAAGTATCTTGCAGGCTTGGCAGCCCACAGCCCCTGGGCCTGAAATAATCTTAACACCAGTGTTATTGAGCCCTTGCAAATTAGTACGACCCAGCTCCAGGGCTGACAGTCCCCTTCAAGTGCAAATTGAGGAAATGCACCTTGCTGCTCTCCAGGAGACAATAATGCAAACTAACCCAGGATGCCTGAATGAGGGTTTAGTCACCAAACTTCATCAGCCTGAGGTGTTCCTCCATCAACGTTTTCAGTTTTGCTGCCTCACAGGTATACTTGTCCTACAGTAATCACCTGTTGGGGAAACTAAAGTGAGCATGAACGATCCAAATGCAAGTTACTTGCGTAGCAGGGCAAAATCCTGGCAATGGATTTTCCTGAAGACCAACAGTCTGCCCCACTTGTGAGCTGGCTTTGTGCACTATTTGGATAAATAATTCTCAGTGGAGAAGAACAGAAGGAAATCTGCTTCTGCATTCGTTGGGTTTGAACATTGACGTGCAGTGTCTATTCCCAGCTAACCACAGTTCATGTTTTCTGCCCCAGGAGGGCTCTGACTCTCACATCTCCCAGATTTCCCACTTACAAAGCTACCCATGGTTTTTTTTAGGTTAGTAGACATAGAATCATAGAATGGTTCGGGTTGGAAGGGACCTCAAAGATCATCTAGTTCCAACCCCCCTGCCCTGGGCAGGGATACCTCCCACTAGAGCAGGTTGCTCAAGGTTTTATTCTTAAAATATTCAAGGTTCTCAAAATATTCAAGGTTTTATTCTTAAAAAGCTATTGGAAGGTGATTTAAGCAGCCTGAAACTGTATATATTTGTTTCATTATTTCTCAACCTTTCCCTCATCTAATCAGGATTTAGACTTGATTTAAAAAAAGAATAAAATCCTGAGGTTCTTCCTTGGATATTGGCATGACTTTTTCTTCAGCAACATAAATCAAACACCTTTTCCTTCTTTACTTTTCTCACTAATTTTCAGAGGGCAGGCTTTAATCTGAGCCCATGCTATCCTGGTCTTTTTGCTTTCATTTAGGACTCCTTGGAAGGCTTGCTCAGAGTTTTAATCAAGTGATACTTGTTCATTCTCTCAGCAGCCTGGTTGTGTTTAATACAGAAAGATAAACAATGAATTACAGAATCACAGAATTGTGGTGGTGGTGGTTGGAAGGGACCTCAGAGATCATCGAGTCCAACCACAAAAAAAAAAAAACAAAAAAACCACATAGCTCTGCTCACTGAGGGGTCAGGAGCTTCCCCGCGTGTCCGTGCCTCCTGCCTCCAGATCAGGGACATGGACCATGGCTGAGGCTGCTTGTGCAAAAAGCAGTACTACGACACCAGCTTTAGTTGCACGACTGAACGCTGTGTTATCCACAGGAATCCATGAATTAACCAGCGTACCTTAAATTGCTGCTGTCGAATTGGTGATCCAGATCATGGGGCAATTTGTAAAGCCTACCAGATAAGTATGCAAAGAGTGCTGTGAGTGATATTCCCAAATAATAACTGTCACTGCTGGAAGCTAATGGTGTGCTCTCTGTGCTCTGAAAACAATTAATGAATAATTTATTTACTACGTAAAACTTGCCTTGCTCTTTGCCCACTTTGCTCTGTTTTCTTTGCTGTGTATCAGTCAATCAGATAACGTGGATCAATTCACTGCTGAGTAAATCAGAGAAAAACAGTGGAGGTTCTTCAGTGGCAACTCATTCGGATGCAGTGCCAGGGCCCCTGGGCAACCAGTGTGGTTCACATATCACCCTCAAGAGAGTGCTCCAGGAGTTAGTCTGTGTTGTCCCATGGGTGCCCCTGCAGTTGCAGCCCAGCAAAGCACCAGCAGAAGCCCAGAAGATGCATGTTCTCCTCCTGCTCTGCGTGCGTTTCATTAGGGGGGTCCTTGAAGGATGCAGAATTGCTTTACAGTTTTCAAAAGAGGCCTTTTAATAAGGCCTGACTGAATAACACCACATTCACCTCTCTTCACCTGAGGCTCAGTGTGGCTGGCCACACAGCCAGACTGACTGACCAACGTTCTCTGGGCTGGGAGTTAAACTTTAACATGAACCGGAGGAGAAGAACCCAGATGTGACTCAGCTGCCCATGTCCTTCCCCTTCTCCTCCCTGCTGGTGAGGGCAGTGCAGCAGGACAGGGAGTGGGGACACAGCAGTAAGGACCTGCAACCTCGGGGCTGCCCCAGTGATGGAGCCTGGCAATCCAGAGGGGAAGAGAGTCGCTGTTGTTGGCGGTGGTCTGGTAGGAAATGCAATTTGGTGGCTGTGTGACTGCATTTGCCAGGGCTGTAAAAGCATTGCTTAGACGTGGGGTTTGAATGTTTTTCTTAAAATCATTCCTCCTTTAGATGAGGAGGTGTAATGGAGGAGGCAGTTGAGTTCTCACTGCAGGAGGCAGCAAAGCTCATTTGAACAGCTAGGACTTTGTAGGAGAACAGCGCTTTCCCGCAAGGGAAAGCTTTGCTGCTGAGATATCCTGGAGACACAATGCCTCTGACACTGAAGGACATCATGGAGCATTGCAGCACCTGAGTCTCTCTCTTGATTTCTTTGGTCATTAGCTTCTTGGTCCCTGTGCTGCTGGAAAAGAGTGATGACATAAGAGTCTGTAGTTCTGATAGCGATTAATGATGGAAATTAAATATGAAAAAGACCACTATCCATTTAAATATCCAGCAGGATGTATGTATACTGTCCTTTTTAAGGAAGCATCTTGCTTTTGCACAGATCTAGCTTCCCCTCATGTGTTCCTAAGGAAATGCTGCAGTACTCTGAATTCTATTGAGGAAGATAAATATAGTTCAGAGAGGAGCAGGGAGCTCCCCTGTACCTGCTCCTGTTGTCTCCGTCTGAAGGGCCTAGCCCTGCTGCAATTAATCACTGTGTGTAGACAAGCCCTGAACCTGGTATGACTTAAAACTATGAGTTTTGATGGGTAACTTTTATCTTGGAGGCTCTACAGGCACATCAAGTGTGCCAGAGGACTTCTCTCCAGGAAGAAGGTTCTTGATCTAGGTTCTTGATCAAAAGGTCTTCCCATATATTCTGAGCTGCATCCCCTGACTGCTGCTTTCCCTTGATGCATCTCAGTAGTGATCTGTGATACAGCTACCATATAGCTACTAAACACTTCATCCACCGTTCCTGATCCGTCTCTTGTAGGTGGGTGCATTAAATGCCTGTTTCTTTGCTAGACGAGGTTTCCATGTTGATGTTTATGAAGCCAGAGAAGGTAAGTTCAGCCTGATCATTACTGCTTTATTAGTGTTTCTGTCCCTTTACTGATAACAATTTTCGAAGAAGCAAAAGAGGAATTATGTGAACTCACTGAAACTGCAGAAAGAAAAAGAAATCTGAAAATGTGACACTTTGGGGATATTCTTTTCACTCTTCCCTTTAGCTCCTGTGGTGGTGGGGAGCATTAATTTGAAATACGTTGTCTTGTGTGGAGGGACCCCATAGTTCAGCTACTAATATGATGCCCTTTTTAATGCTTTTGGCTTAAATCTTGATTCAAATCATCACATTTGAAAATTTGTCTCTGCATGAAGAATTATAGCACAGTACCGTTGAACCAAGCTGGGTCAGAAGTCTGGAAGCAAAGGCTGTTGCTAATGCTGCAGCATCTCTGTGAGGGTTAAAAGCATCAACTTGACCTTGTAACTACTGCCATTGGTGGTGAGCAGAGCTGGTAGCAAGAGGGGCAGAAGGAGAGATGGAGCCCTTTCAGGAAGCCTCCGGCTCCACAGGGCACCGCAACAGAAAATGATGATTTGGGGCACAGGTGCTGGCTGAAAGGGAGAGAAACTGTTTGCTTTCAGTGCCTATCAGCTGACAGACAAATAAAACCTGGTCAGAGAGTGCAAGCCAAGCAGCAGATGAGAATGGTGATAAGTAAGGCGGAACTCAACTCAAACACGCAGCAAAGGGAATGAGAAGCCCCATGTGATGTGGTCACTGTGATAACTCCTCCTCCTTCGGCAGTCATGGAGATGGGCAGTTCTGCTGGGCCCATCCTGAGTCCTGCGCACAGCTCTGGGTCCCCGCTGCAGAAACGGGTGGTCAGGGCAGCCAGCCCCAGGTGCTGCCAGCAGGCTGCAGGCGTGGAGCAAGAGCAAATGGCTTTTCACTGTGGTTTAACTGTTAAACTCTTTGCTGGATGTTGCACGTGCTAGAAGTTTCACAGGTTCAAAATGTCTCTGATCGCTTTTACTTGCCTTTTAAGTCAGAGAGATTTTACCACTGTGGTCCAGTTTTTGGCCCATTTCTTGTGCTGAGATGCAACCCTGAAAGCTATTGGGATGAAGCTCGGCCACATGCACTGGCTGGACAATCTGGGAAGCCTGAGTGAGGCTGTTCGGAGGAGGAACAGGCCAGCACTGAGACATTCCCACCTGAAAAGTGTTGGAGAAGGTGACCTGCAAGTGTCCCAAAAAGCATCAGTCTGTGGGTCTCAGCAGAAGCTGCCACACATACATTGCTCAGCTCTCTCCACTTAGAGGGTAAATGGCTTTTAGTGATAATGAGCCCTCCAGCACTGTGGGGCACTGTCAGGATCCAGCAGCCCCTTTGCAGTACTTGACTGCAGCTGCTTCTTCCAGGCTAGAGGTAGCACAGAGAAAGCCACCCTCAAAGCTGCTCAGCTGCCTTCCCAAGGGCTGAACACGCCCCCTGATACCTGCCCTTTCTGCAGGCAGAGCCAGGGGACGGGGACTCCCCACTGTCACCCCTGCTGTCGCTGCAGGGATCTCAGGAGATGCCACCCACACCAAGCTGTGGCATTGGCGTCTGCGTAACCAGCTGCTCTTTCCACACAGATATCCGGGTGGCCAGCTTTGCCCGTGGCAGAAGCATTAACTTGGCCCTGTCCCACAGAGGACGCCAAGCCCTCCGAGCCGTGGGGATGGAGGAGCAGGTACCCTGGCAGCTTCTTGTCAGTGGCGGGGTCTCTATGGTTAAAATGCTGTTGACTTCAGCTGGTGATGGACAGGCTTTTTTCTGCTCCCCAAGCATGCAGCTGCTCCCCAGCGCTGCCACTGCAGCAGAAGCTCTGCTTTTGTGAGGGTGAAGGTAGACCTGTCCCACTGCATGCCTGTAGCCTGACCCTCCACTGCTTCGTGGCGCAGCCACCAATGGTGATTTCCCCCAGCCTAGGGTCAGCGCCCAACCCCAGGCAGCTGGGCTCTGCTCATGGCAGAGGGTGCTTCCCTTGGAGACCAACACTCAGACAAGCATTCCAGTGTTAAGCTCTTTGCTGTGCTCTCCTCCCTCCTGGAGGGTGAGGCCAAACGGCGCAGGAGTAGGTGGACTCCCAAAAGAGCTGGAGTACCAGCAGGACACGATAAAGGGGGCTAGTTTACCCACTGACATGTGTAGATTTCTGTTTTCCCACAAACCCATGAGCTTTGGGCTGATCCCTGAAATCTGTTCACACCGACGTCTGCACTTCTGGAAGTGGTGGGTTCTCCTGGTCCCTGGCTCCCTGCAGAGAAGGAGCCCAGACTTCAACAGGTTGTATCCCAGCACCAGGACGTAATTTGACTGTCATCCCCTTCTCTGCCAAGCACCCTGAGGCTTTTCATGTCCCTTCTCTCAAAAAATATTTTTGCACTGATTTTTATGAGAATGGGTTCGTAAGTAATCTCAATAAAATGCAGTGACTTGGCGTTGACAGCCCTGTAAAATTTTCCCCGCTAACTTGGATAGTTGCACAGAAATGTATGAGCAGAGAGCACCCCACTCATGCTTGGAGTGCAGTGCATGGGGGGAATGGCAGTTGGTAGCTTGTGCCTTGCTCCTCAGCAACTCAGTTTTGTCCAGAAGGCTGGATTGTGTTCCCTTCCATTTCAGATTGTGTCCAAGGGCATTCCCATGCAGGCAAGGAGGATACATACACCTTCGGGGAAGAAGTACTCTATCCCTTATGGGAAGAAGAACCAGGTACTGGTCTCATGCTGCCACTCAGACACTTTGCAGAGCATGAGGGGTCTTTAATGGGATTTGTGGCTCTGCGTGAT